AGAAAGACCACAGAAAATGAAATAGGGCTTTGTGCTGCAGGCTAGAACACACACACACACACACACACACACACACACACGCCTTCATGTCCCATGGGGCCGAGCACTCCTGCACCTGTCTGTCTGTCCTGTCTCTCTCACTTCAAAGAAAAGCATCAGGGACACGTTTTGGTAACCGTGGACGACAGTCTGTCTGCTGCATTTATGAGAGGAATCAAATATTTCCTTCTGCACCAGAGAGCAGAGCTTATTCACAGAACAGAACAGGAAGTAGAGCTCAGCTGATCTCTCATTATTTATAAAGAGGTGTAGAGGAGCGTCAGACGCCCACCTGTGAGGAGAGAATCATCAGTGTTCACAAGGAAATTAAAACCTGACCCAGACGTTTCATTTATATAAATGTGGAGTTTGTTTTTCTGTCTGATTTAGATCCAACATCCGTCCTGAGAATGCAAACAACAACTTCCACGAGTTCCATATGAACACGTTTGAGAGGATCACCTCGTGTAACTCCTGCCACATGCTGCTGAGGTGAGACACACACACACACACACACACACACACACACACACACTCAGGTGTCCTCAGGGGTCAGACAGAAAGGCTGAGGAGGATGGGACGTGGACCCTGACCATCTCTCGGTCACAGACGGTTTCTTTTTGTATTTTCTGAATAGATTCACGCTCTGCCTCTCTCTCACTGAACGCTTTACCCTACAGACAAGTCAATGTCTGTCACACTCCAGCTCCTCTTCAAAACCATGGACGAGAGGGGGGGGGGGGTTGTCACAGCAGCTCTGTGAATGTGAAACAGGAGTAACTCAGAAAAGGTCTCAAACAGCGTCTGAAGAGCAGCGTTTCAGAACCATCTATTAATGACTATTCCTTGTCACAGTATTTTTTATTGTTGCAGAAATTCAACTTCGTGTCCTTCGAAAGACGTCGAAGATGTCCGCCTCAGTTTGAACCTTCAGCTCGTGGAGAAACACTTTACTAAACATTTGTTTTATTGTTGTCACGTGAAGTTTAGCAGGCTGGTGTAAAACTAAACACATCTTTTCACTGTGTTGTACGAGTATCAATGGTCCAGCTGATTGTGTTTCCTGTTTCATCTGCAGGGGGATCTTCTATCAGGGCTACCTCTGCTCCATGTGTGGCTTAGGAGCTCATAAAGAATGTCTGGGACGCTTCGGCTCCTGTGGAAAAACAGGTAACACTAAACACACACAGATGCGGTTTAGTCTCTACACAACTTTTTCTGTAACTAGTTCCACATGGCTTGGCTGCAACATTTCGACAGTTAGTTTTGAGTGTTGAATCTTAACGTACGACCACCACAGCAGTGTGAACACAACAACAGATGACACGTGATGTTTGAAGGTCTTTAATTATTACTGGTCAGAGGAAGTTTGTTGCACTGTGGTGGCGTTCTGAAAAGAAAATCCAAACTTTTCTCCTCTCTGCTCGCGAAGGTCGTCCTCGTATTCGATCAGTTTTTCAGGTTTTCTCTCTCGGAGCCTCCCCCGCTCCTCCGGGCGTTTCTGACACTTCAGAGCAGCTTAAAGGCGATGTCACCGAGTGTCAGCGCTGCGATCCCCCACAGGCCCATCAGAGTTTTACTGAAGAGTTGAAGAAACTCTTTTCCTCTCAGTCTCTTGTGCGTCTGTCACTCAGCTCCCCGAGCAGAGTCTGACAGCTCAGAGAGAGACGAGGGAGGGGACTTCAGACATGAGGCATGAAAAGAAGAACGCCATAAACCAGCTTAACATGTCCTCTGCATGTGTGTGTGTGTGTGTGTGTAAGCTGTTTGTGGAAGTTTTTCAAATCTTCAGGTGCGTGCTTCTGTTTTTATAGCACTAAAGCTCTGCTCATACCCGGACACACTGTACCCGAACTGACTTTGTGTGTGCGTGTCCGTGTTTGTCCGTGTATTGGTGTGTGTGTTGGTGTGTGTGTGTTCACTGTGGCGAGCTGCCAGCTCTAGTTGGACCGGACATCTGTCATGGTGCTTTCAGGTCACAGAGGCAATAACGGCACTGCCACCCCACCTGGGCTCAGAGTGTACCTGAGCAGATTCAGGCGACATCGGCAGCAGGACAGCTGCTGAAGACTCAGACTGTCTGAATTTACCGGCGCAATCGTCCAATCAGCGTTCAGTCTCTGCTGGTACACCGGTATACAAACACACCAGCACTTTAGTCAGTCAGGAACTTAAAAAAAACTCCCAAAAGTCAAGTTTAAGTTTAAACGTTACAGTCTGTTTACCTGCTGCAGACGTTACAGTCCGTTTACCTGCTGCAGACGTTACAGTCTGTTTACATGCAGACGTTACAGTCTGTTTACCTGCTGCAGACGTTACAGTCCGTTTACCTGCTGCAGACGTTACAGCCTGTTTACCTGCTGCAGACGTTAGTCTGTTTACCTGCTGCAGACGTTACAGTCCGTTTACCTGCTGCAGACGTTACAGTCCGTTTACCTGCTGCAGACGTTAGTCTGTTTACCTGCTGCAGACGTTACAGTCCGTTTACCTGCTGCAGACGTTACAGTCTGTTTACCTGCTGCAGACGTTACAGTCCGTTTACCTGCTGCAGACGTTAGTCTGTTTACCTGCTGCAGACGTTACAGTCCGTTTACCTGCTGCAGACGTTAGTCTGTTTACCTGCTGCAGACGTTACAGTCCGTTTACCTGCTGCAGACGTTACAGTCCGTTTACCTGCTGCAGACGTTACAGTCCGTTTACCTGCTGCAGACGTTACAGTCCGTTTACCTGCTGCAGACATTACAGCCTGTTTACCTGCTGCAGACGTTAGTCTGTTTACCTGCTGCAGACGTTACAGTCCGTTTACCTGCTGCAGACGTTACAGTCCGTTTACCTGCTGCAGACGTTACAGCCTGTTTACCTGCTGCAGACGTTAGTCTGTTTACCTGCTGCAGACGTTACAGTCCGTTTACCTGCTGCAGACGTGACAGTCCGTTTACCTGCTGCAGACGTTACAGTCTGTTTACCTGCTGCAGACGTTACAGCCTGTTTACCTGCTGCAGACGTTACAGTCTGTTTACCTGCTGCAGACGTTACAGTCTGTTTACCTGCTGCAGATGTTACAGCCTGTTTACCTGCTGCAGACGTTACAGCCTGTTTACCTGTTGCAGACGTTACAGCATGTTTACCTGCTGCAGACGTTACAGTCTGTTTACCTGCTGCAGACGTTACAGTCTGTTTACCTGCTGCAGACGTTACAGTCTGTTTACCTGTTGCAGACGTTACAGTCTGTTTACCTGCTGCAGACGTTACAGTCTGTTTACCTGCTGCAGACGTTACAGTCTGTTTACCTGCTGCAGACGTTACAGTCTGTTTATCTGCTGTAGACGTTACAGTCTGTTTACCCGCTGCATTTACAGAGATTATATTACAGCCATGTGAGCCTGTGTGCAATGTTCACACCAGTCAGTCATTTATTCCTCAGAACATAAACAGCTGTGTTCCTGGAATAAAAACACCAGAATTGCCCTTTAATTAGTTTCTTCTTGTCGGTTGCACAACTTCCAGATTGGAACTTTAATGCTCAGAAAGCCATAATAATCCTCACCTGAGCAGATTCTGTCAATACACCAGCATGACTGCACACACACACACACACACACACACACACACACACACACACACACACACACACACACACACACAATCTCAGTGCAGAGTGTGTGTGTGTGTGTGTCAGAGATAAGCCATTGTTTACCTGCATTTGTCTCTGTTATCAGCTGCCTCTCCACATGTTTGTGTAACAGGTCAGAGTTTACTTGAGGAATGACAGGTGTGTGTGTGTGTGCAGGTATGCATTGAGGGTTTATGCAACTGCTCTGTTTGTACAGGTACAGTAGTATGAGAGTTTCTGTGTGTGTGTGTGTGTGTGTGTGTGTGTGTGTGTGTGTGTGTGTGTGTGTGTAGGGGGTGTAACCCATCCCTCAGGGAGCCAATGAAAGAAACTGGTGGAGCAAAAACCTCAGGTCTGTCCCCCCTCCCTCCCCCCTCCTCGTTACCTGCTCTTCCAGCTGTCAGGTAGCTTCACGCAGTCAAACAAAGCGGAGCGCGGTCAGACACGAGCGTCGGCCGCTTCACTAATGAGGGACTGTTGTGTTGTTCCGACGAGAATGTGCAAGTGTTTGTGTGCACCTGCTAACCCGTCATTCACCATGCCTGTTCTCAAACTTTTTTCAGATCCGTGCTCCGTCAAAACTCAGGTAAGCTGTGTGTTCGTTTGTGTGTGTGTGTGCTTCAGTGTAAGCTGTGTGTTCGTTTGTGTGTGTGTGTGCTTCAGTGTGTTCAGTGTGCAGCACTTTGAAGGCTGCTCTCTCCTGCAGCTATTTGCCAAAGAGACTCAGGTTGACTTAAGTTTCTGCAGCTCACCTGACGGGAGACACACGGATGTTTTTGCAGGTTTAGCCTCAGTTGTCTCTGCTGTTTGTGAAACTTCTGTTTGCTTTACAGATGCACTACTCAAAAGTTTCCAGAGCAGGAAATCAGACCGAGCGTACAACTATTCAAAGAAGAAGTGTGAGGCCCAACCTGCAGAAGAGATCCTTCCTGTAAAATAAACTGCACTGACCTGAAACAGTTCATTCTGCTGTTAGGTGTTCATGATCAGAAGATTTCTGTGCACGAATCGAGCCGAACAAAAACTCAACATGCAAACTTTCTCAAACAATCACCACGACGTGCTGCAGGGAATTAGTTAGCATTCTGTGATGAAGTATGATTCATAAAAATTGCAGAGGTTTTCTGCAGCCGAGAACAAAGTCGTGTTTTCGCGTTGTGTGTGTCTGTGTGTGTGTGATCTGAGTCTGAACATATTGTGTGGTCCGTGCACACTGCATGTCCTGCATGGATGAGGGAGAATCTGTAGAAGGCTGAGTCAAATATTAATCTATGTGTGTCTTTGTGTCTGTCTGTTGTGTGTGTGTGTGTGTGTGTTAGTCAGGTGTGTGTGTGTGTGTGTGTGTGTGTGTGTGTGTGTGTGTGTGTGTGTGTGTCTGTTCTGCAGTGTGTAACTTGTACCTTTGTCTGCTCTATTTCAGGGGCGAGATCCAGATCCAGGTGAGAAGCTGAGAACACACCTCACCTCACACAGTCTCTTCTGTCAGATGTTTCTCTCTTCACTGACGTTAATCTAAGCTGTGATTTTTTTTTCTTTTAAATGTTTAATGTCATGTGTTGAAAAGAATTTTAAACGCCACGATAAAGAACAGGCTGCATGTTGTCATCATTCCAAGTTGGACGTGGTTGAAGATCTTTAACCGCGTCACGATCCCATTGGCTCAAGCTTTGAATGAGCTGGATGACTGAACCTTCACACACACATTTTAATAATGTTGCATTCTTCCTTTAAAAGTTTCAAAGTAGTAAACCACAGACGGACTCAGTATTAGTTTAAGTTCTGCACCTTAACGAGTGCTTGAAGCTCCGCCCTCACAGTTTGTGTTGCTGCAGAAACGTTTGAGTCTTCTGGATGAATGTGAGTCTCTTAGTTCCTGTTGGTTTGGTCTCTCTCTCTCACTTCCTCCTCCTCTGTCTCCTCGGCAGTAGGTCTGGATTCATTACTGCTAGCGTTTAAGCGATATGATTTCTCTTCCTGGAATCAGAGGTGACCCCGCTCACGCAGAGAGGAGGGTCTACCTAAGTCTCCATGAATCCCCCTATGACATCACCATCCTGATGTAAACACCATCAATGTTGACTAAAGGTTGAAGAACACGCTTTGATTAGGAGGAATATCAGCGAGCATGAACCAGGACGACATTACAGGAAAAGTAGTTCTCACACACACTATCCTTCAGTGTGTGTGTGTGAGTGTGTGTGTGTGTGTGTGTGTGTGTGTGTGTGTGTGTGTGTGTGTGTAGGGCCTTTAATCTCTCATAAACCTGCCTTCATCTCTCATTTTTCCACCTCTCCGTCCATTATGCTGCAGAAAATCATTTCTGACGGAGGACGCATTAAAATCAATAGGCGTTTGATTGCTCCGGCCCTCGGCACTTCGTAATACTCAACGCCGCTGCGCTCTTTGTCTGTTTTCAAAGGTGCACTAACACTCGGCTCGTCCTTGTGAGGAGAGGAATGCAATTCATGCCCCCGAGACTGGATTCTCCACGGCCCCATGTCTTTAGAAGTGGTACTGAGGCGGGCTGGCACATGTCGGGCTGCTGCACACACGCAGATAGAGACGTATTAGCGCTTGTTGACTCCTCTGTTGTTTGCCTAAAGCTTCCCCCTCTCTCTTCATGCTCTCTTTTGAATTTCTCTCTCATATTGTTGTGCACAATGCAGACTCAGATATGCATGGTATTGTGTCGGCTGTGAGGTCTGAGCTCCGGGTCTGTTTGCCATGAAGCTTCATAATAGACATATATTATATTTCAATTTCACTGACATCTGACTCAATAAGGGGATCAAAGTCTCACCACATCACCACATTTAAACCCTCACTGTGATGATGTGTGTCTGTCGCTCTGCATGGCTGACTGCAGCAACACAGGAGGCTTCATGAAGGTCCATCACTCAGCTGGACTCGAGGCTCTCTCCTCCTGCACACCTGAAACTTGAATGCTGCAGGTAACACGGTCAGCAGAGCCTGCAGGTTAATGTTAAGTTAACCACGGCTAGTTAAAGCTTTATTAGTCCTTCTAGAGGCCAGCTGCTCCGGGTCACACTTGGAGTCAATCCAAGCAGTGCAGATTTCTCTGTGAGGCTCTAAAACTCAAGTTTTCACACTCGGGGGGGCTGAAGATATGGTGAGGACGCTGTTGCATCAGATGTGCATTTTATACCTAAAATGTAAAAGTGTTCAAAGTGATGAGATAAAAAGGAGAGACGTGTGTGTGCTCCTGTAAACACACCGAGTTTGTCTGTAACCCTCTGGATCCTGGATCAGCAGTAAACCGGGTCCTCCCTGAAACACACTCCTGCTTATCTTCCATCTGTGAGTGTGATGACCTGCAGGCTTATCTGTCATTTTATAATGGGTCCAAACGATCTGCAAGGGCAGCACACACGGCTGACTCCAGGGGTGTGTGTGTGTGTGTGTGTGTGTGTGTGTGTGTGTGTACACCTCATTACTACCTTTTTTTTTAAAGGTTCATTTTTGGGCTTTTATTTGAGACAGGACAGTGGATAGAGTCAGTAATTAAGGACAGACAGAGGGGAATGACATGCAGGAAAGGAGCCACAGGTCGAATCCTGTCCACCCGCTTGGAGGACTCCAGCCTTTGTACATGGAGGGCGCGCAGTAACCACTAGGCTACCAGCGACCTACATTATGCATGTCTGCATGAGTTTTAAAAAACATTTCAGCTTCAACTTTTACTTCGACTTTAATTTTTGTAAAAACAAACTTCACACACTTTCACACTTTTCTTTCTTTTTTCTGCCTTCTTGATGTTTAGTGTTCACATTTCTGCAGACTTTCCGAGCCTCTGCTGACCTCAGATCAGTTTTTAAAGACTACAGATTCAACTCAAATAGAAATGAACTGAGATCACCTGTAAACCGTCTCCTCTCCTGTTGATGTTTTTTTAGCAGCGTTAAAGACTGTAAATCAAAGAATCTGTGTTGTCATGGTTACCTTGAATACTTCCTGCAGGGTCCTGACATTCTCTTTCTCCCGCAGGTCTGCCAAAGATGATCGTCATCAGGAACTACTACGGCGCTCCGAGCCCAGCGTCCGGTCCACCTCTCAGCATCCAGTCTGGAGACATCATCGAGTTGATCCGTGCCGACCTGCACAGCGCCTGGTGGCAGGTAAGAGGATCACACATACACACACACACACACACACACACAGCGAGGACGCAGTGACACACTAACCTTTAGTATCTAATAAGTCAACAAGTGACAACTTGAGAAGAAAAGAACAACAGAGTTACAAAGTGAGCCTCTGACTTTATGAACCTCCTTCCTCCACAAGTCTCTGTGTGTTTCTAAAAAACCTTTCCCGGTTGAAAGAGTTGTCGCCACGGGAACAATAAACACACTTCCTCTTCCTGTCAGCCATTATTCCACCGACAGTTAAATAGCAGGCTGTTAACACACGCTGCTCTGTGTTCCAGATAATCGCTCCTGAATTATGGAGACAAAGTGAGCTCACTGGTCGTAACACGATTATCTGTGTGTGTGTGTGTGTGTGTGTGTGTGTGTGTGTGTGTGTGTGTGTGTGTGTGTGTGTGTGTGTGTGTGTGTGTGTGTGTGTGTGTGTGTGTGTGTGTGTGTGTGTGTGTGTGTGTGTGTGTGTGTGTGTGTGTGTGTGTGTGTGTGCTTTCAGGGCAGAATCCTGTCCACCAAGGAGGTCGGCTTCTTCCCCAGCGATGCAGTGAAGCCTTGTCCATGTGTAAGCAGCTTCTCTCTCTCTCTCCTATTTCTCACAACAGTAGAGCAATGTGTGTATTTACTGTCGGGGGGGGGGAGAAGCAGCAGGCAGGTGAGGAGGTGCAGGAAGGTGGGGGAGGGGTTGAGCTGTTACCTGTTGTTGTGCAGACTAACCTACACCCCTCAAAGGGAGCAGAGTCTGGACTGACTTATTTAGTCCATCACATCTGGATGGTCTCGTCCTCACTCTGTGTCCAGCTGCTGCAGGATCATGGGCTATCCTGAAGATAACCTGCAGTTATCTCCTCTGTCGTAAAGATAATAGCTGCATTAAGCTGTTTTATTGTTCTCTTACAGTGAAGAGATACTGTTTTATTTCGGGGCACAGCGTCAGGACTGTTGAGCCGGCGCCAAGCATAGATTAGCGTGGTGGTGTTGTGGTGAGGTTGCTTTATGTCAATAACAAAAACACTCTTTGCTCTTTGCTCCAGGTCCCAAAACCTGTCGACTACTCCACTCAGCCCTGGTGAGATCACCAAACACTGACACCTGTTATTTCACTGAACATATCATTAAAGTCACATATCCTCCTCCTCTTCTTCAGTGTAAATAAGTGTCAGAGCTCCTTAAAACATGTGTGTGAAGTTTCTTGTTCTAAATCCACTCTGATCCTGTATTTGATCATGTCTATAAACCCCTCTATTTCAGCCCTGCTCAGAACAGGCTGTTTCTGTGTCTGTACCTTTAAATATGTAAATGAGCTGTGTTTGACCACGCCCCCTCTCTGGAAGGTCTTGGGTGTCTCAGGCTTTCTTGCTCCATGTCCTATTGTTTACGGTGAGAAGGCAGACTCAGAGGGCAGAACAAACACCTAGCTGTGGGAGTGTCACCCACCTGGGGGAGGGGCTACTGCCCTTTGTGATGTCATGAAGGGAAAATCTCCAAACGGCCTGTTTGAGCACACATTTTCTGAAAAGTGGAGCAGGTTAAAGACAGAGATGATGGACTTTTCTCATCATTGGGGGTTTGTAGACAGACTAGAGACACATGTTAGAGGAACATGGAAAAATGGATTTAATATGTGACCTTTAAGGGTTAAACCACTAACTTTAAAAGTATATTCAGTCATTCAGTTTCTGTGTTTTTGTCGTCGTGTTTTAGGTTTGCAGGTCCGATGGAGAGACTCCAGGCTGAGGCAGAACTCCACAATAGGGTCAACAGCACGTACCTGGTCCGCCATCGCAGCAGAGAGTACACAGAGTACGCCGTCAGTATAAAGTGAGTGTGACATCACTGTCATGTAGACAGACGCTCTGATGAAGACCCTGTGTGAATGCATGCAGAGCTCGAGGGTCAGTGTGCAGGACTAATCCTCTGAAGCATGTTTTCATGATGTCTGGTCTCCTGGGATTAAGACCTTACATAACCTCTGTCTATCTATTGAGGGAGCCGCGCCTCTTCCACAAACAATCAGCTGCTCCACGTTTTGTTGCAGTTCAAGAGAGAAACGATACGATACCGGAGATCAACCTGATTCTCTCTTTAATCCTCACTCAGCTCTGTGTATGAGGGCTTCATGATGCTGCGGTCAGACAGATTCTCGGCTGGATTCCTCAGACGTTTCTAACCAAACCGCAGCATCGACTCTATGAACTCTCGGCTGAGCTACAGAAAGCGATGCAGCGAGTTATAGCTTTGTCTGCACGTTGAGGTTCTCAGAGTCCGTGGTTAACCACGGAGACGTTTGTGAGACTCACCAACCTGCGTGCTTATCATTCTGCAGGGCTTTAGACCACGTAAGACCATCACGGTTAGACCTCCAAACCCACAAAACTAGGAAACAAGAAAGAAGGGCAGTTAGATGATAATGAATGGAGCATATGTCAGAGCTGTGATCATGACATCATCGTCTCAGTAGAAACAGAGATGACATCAGTGTGAGCCATCGTCTCATCCTGCTGACTCTCTGAGCAGCAGAAACTCTCCTCTACTCTTCGGTGGGACTCTTTTTAGAGCCTATGCTCCTCTCAGAGTGGACGTCTTCCCGCTCCTCCTGAGCTGCTCATGTTCAGACGAGCTGCTCTGAACTAGTCAGAGAGAGAAAGAGAGAGAGTCAGACTGCTCAAGGTTATTTAAACGTCCCCCCAAGAGAGGAGCAGACGGAGGAGACCGAGCTGTGGGGATGACTTGAATGAAAATGTCCTCTCCCTCAGAGATGCCATGATAGTGTTCAAAAAGTAATAGTTAAGGAGGCTGTCGGGAAAAGTGTCTGTCTCACACAGTGGAAAATACTGTAAAAACCTTTAATTTCTTAAAAAATGTCAACATCTAAAAAAAATTGATAAACACAGGAAACGTGTCAATAAAGTTGACTCAACTGATTTGATGACAGTTTGCATTCTGGTCCTGAACACGGCCGTTTTCGACGCCCTTTTGTCAGATATGAGAGCAGTTATCAGGTCAACAGGTGTTGCAGCGATGGAAGCGGGCAAGAGAAGTGGTTCAGATAGAAGTGATTGTACCCGACCTAAAAAGCCTCTGCGTGTTTCTAATAAGCTCCACGAGCAGAAACGTGCTCAAACTAGGATCAATATTGGAGATGCTTTTGAAAAATGGAGAGAGGTTAGAACACAGAAAGGTTTACAGACCCATGCAGAGCTGGATAAACACTGAAGCTTCAGTGTCCACCACATGGTGACCTGTGTGAGCATCGACTCTAGAGAGGGGGGGAGAGACAGCTCTCTATGATGTAAACACTAGGAGTCAGAGTTGCATACTGCTTCGTAAGCCCCTCTCCTCCTCCTATTTTTCTTAACTTAAGATTGATGTAAACAGGATTGTGGAAAAATTGCATGTACGTTACCGACTGTTTAAGGTCCATGTCCCAAAGTAGATACGTCTGTGTAGAATTTGTGCTGCCCCCTAGTGTTAGTATCAGACAAGGTCACGCTCTTAACCACGTAACATGAAACTTAAGGCCCTAAGCATTCTTCAGACTGCAGACTCCCTGTTAATGCAAACACAAGTTTCTGTGTGTGTGTGTGTGTGTGTGTGTGTGTGTGTGTGTGTGTGTGTGTGTGTGGGGGCACACATTTCCTCCTGACCACCCATCACTCACGTGTCCCAAACCTCTGGGACCTCGTGCATTACAGTGAGAGGTTGGCACTCTCCTTGGAGGCCAGGGGGCGGGCCTCCGATCGATGGCGGTGATCAGAGAGGGAAATTACACTCATAACTTATTCAATGGCCCACAGGTACAACAACGACGTGAAGCACATAAAGATCCTGACCAAAGACGGCTGCTTCCACATCGCAGAGCACAAGAAGTTCAGGAGCATATTAGTGAGTCTCTTTTATTTGTTAAATTCCACCGCCGCAGCTCATAAATAAATCAGCGTGTGCAGCGCCTAATGAAGTGTCAAAAGCTGGATTTTGTTTTAGCAGTGTTGATACGGGCCCCGGGGCCTCGACCTAACAGACACGTGTGGTGCTTGGTGGGAATGAAGGTTCACCAGCTGTATTTATGTCACACTGAATGGTTAATGCACATTTCATATCAGCTGATCAAACTGTTTGTTTCAGACAGCCTTTCAAAATAAGATGCTCATTTAATTTGAAGAGCATTTAATAGTGGATCAAAAGTTCTGATGAGACTGATGAGGGATCAAGACCCAGTCACGACCAAACCAAGACAGGAAGAGACCGAGTCAAGACCAAGACCAAAACCAAGACAGGAAGAGACCGAGTCAAGACCAAGACCAAGACCAAGACCAAGCCCAAGCCCAAGCCCAAGCCCAAGCCCAAGACCAAGACCAAGACAAGACCAAAACCAAGACAGGACGAGACCGAGTCAAGACCAAGACAGGGCAAGACCGAGTCAAAACCAAGACCAAGACAAGACCAAAACCAAGACTGGATGAGACCCAGTCAAGACCAAGACCAAGACAGGACGAGACCGAGTCAAGACCAAGACCAAGACCAAGACCAAGACCAAGACCAAGACAAGACCAAAACCAAGACAGGATGAGACCGAGTCAAGACCAAGACCAAAACTAAGACAGGACGAGACCCAGTCAAGACCAAGACCAAGACCAAGACCAAGACCAAGACAAGACCAAAACCAAGACAGGACGAGACCGAGTCAAGACCAAGACCAAGACAGGGCAAGACCAAGTCAAAACCAAGACCAAGACAAGACCAAAACCAAGACTGGATGAGACCCAGTCAAGACCAAGACCAAGACAGGATGAGACCGAGTCAAGACCAAAACCAAGACAGGATGAGACCGAGTCAAGACCAAGACCAAAACCAAGACATTTAGGGATGGAGACGTGTTATTTTGAGTGTCAGAACAATGAAAGTTTTATTTCCCGTTATAATAAAATCAAGAACTGTTCAGTCTCGTGAAGAATGTGTAAGAGCTGATTCATTTATCAGGTTTTAAAAGTGACCTCCTTCAGAGACGAGTGTTAACCCGCTGTGTGTTTGTGTGATCAGGAGCTCATCGAGTACTACAAACATCACTCCCTCAGAGAAGGCTTCAGGAGTCTGGACACCACGCTGCAGTTTCCCTACAGAGAACCTGAGAACGCTGCGATGCAACGACTCAACTGCTCGGGAAGCAACAGTGAGTAAACCGCTTTAACAGTTTCAGATTCTAATCATCGCTGTTCACAAGAAGCCGGTTCGTCATCGTGTAGCGTGTCGCAAAGCCGGGCGGGAGAGTTTGTCTTGAGAGGCAGCTTTTTTAAGGACACACCCACTCGGAAGCTCACTCAAACGTCTCTGTGACTGCAAACAGAGCTGGCCAATCAGAGGGGAGTAGGGACGTGGGGAGGCGGACCTTAAAGAGACAGCAGCTGAAACACCAATTTTAGATAAATAAGGTTTTAGAGCAGCTCAACAGGAGTCCCAGACTGACATCTGAATGCTGACAGTAAAGATAATAGATCTTCTTTAAACAAACATTTTCTTAATCGCTGTTTTCAATAGTTTATCGCTATTAATAATCTTTTTAACCGCATGTTTGAAGTGATTGGTTTTCTAATTAGTTCGTCATCAGGCTTTTATTTTGTTTTTTTGTGTGTTTGTTTTAAGCTCAGAGATCTTTACCTCAGGTTTGAATACCAACAAGCTTTTATTTTGAAATGAGAAAAAGAACTTCTGGCAGGCCCAAGTTTACAACTGAACGCTCCGCTCAGGTCTGCCCTTTCTGTCATCAGTCTGCATGTTTCTGTGAACTCATGTCATCATAATCACACTGAAACGACACTGATGCTCTTATTTTGACGGCGTAACACATGCTGTCACGTGGCTCTCCTTTTGTCTGTTTATATGTTTCCGTGTGTTGCACGTTAGTCAACAGTTGTCGTTTTGGAAATGTTCTCTTTAAATCTAAGTGAATTGATCTGATTGAAGTGGACGCTGCAGGCCGTGTGAAGTCTCCACGTTCACTTCACACAATCTGAATTACTTACGTCTCATTCGGTGGATTGCAAACATGAAACAGGAGCGTCTGAATGAGATTTCATTAGAATCCTGTTTTTCTCTCGCTGCGGTGGAAACGAAAGAACGTCTGCTCCTGCTGACAGACAGAAATGTGAACAGATTGTTGAGCACAGACAGCCTCGCTCCAAATGAGTTTTATTGTGGCGAGGTCTGTTGTGTCGTCGTCAGACTCGTCCTGGCGTGCACACTTCGTTTAAATCTCTCTCTGTTTGATTTCCATCGTCTGGAGCTCTGCTGGAGGACTGCTAATTAATGTTTACGCTCCGTTCTCTGTTTCCTGGAAGTCTCTGCAGAACAAAAATCCTCTGACTGATGTTTTTTTTTTACAAACTAGAATCCTAACATCATTCATGTGTCCATGAACAAACTGTGAGGGACGCTGCTGCTGATTGGATGCAGCCTCGTCCTCTCTCTGGTTCTGTGTGTTTGTGTCGTTCACATGGAGCTTTGTGCAGCAGTCCACACATCAGGTTTGACTAACATGAGGCTTGTAAACTGCAGCTGGTGTTTTATTTTGAAGAGGAGTAGGATCCCTCTTCATCAGAGGATGCTGATGAGTCTTCAGTTTAGACCTCCAGCTCTCCATAGATCACATCAATCACCTCGGCATGTTCAGCTGCCTGCAGGATTGTTTGGAGCGTCACACATTTCTCTCTCATTACTGTCCGTGATCATCGTTCCATTTTTATGAGGCAGGCGGGAAGGTTTGGAAACTTTTAATTTGAAGGGTCCTCTGGTGACAAACATGTTGATTTGTAGGCGTTGTGGACTCATGAGTTACGTCAACCTCAAAGAGGCGGCAATGTTGTTTGTAGTCTTTACATGTCTCTTCTTGTTCTTGTAGTTCGTTCACACCTCCTGAAAACGTCCTGATATTTTCAGTCTGAGCGTCATGTGTGAACACAAACAGCTGAATGTTTCTCTCTTCACCCGGAGTTTCTCCTCCAGCCTCCTGGTATTTATTCTGCAGAAAATCAGAGTGATCTGATGTGAGAACACAGCAGGATATAATCAGGAGAATTCACCTGGAGCCAGTGGGAGGGGGTGGTGATGTTTATTCCCTATGATCACTGCACGATCATAGACTGTCTGCACACCACCTCTACCATCTCCGTGCTCTGCAGATGTTTTTCTCACACTTTCTTCATTGACTGTAACACTCGATGAAGAAGCTTTCAGGTGTTTAAAAATAATGAAATCAGCTGTTCGGTGGCTTTCTGCTCCTCCTCCTGCCTGTCATTGATTATCATGCTGCAGCTGTGTTCTCTGTACCTTCTGAACAGTTTGGATTCTTAAAATTCATGTTTTATTTTTTTCTCCTTTGCTCCTCTCTCCTCCCTCCATCTCTGCCCTCTTCCCCCTCTCCCCCTCCCCCTCTCCCCCCTCTCCCCCCTCTGCTCCCCGCCTGGCCTGGCCTGCTATAGCCCCATTGCTCTGCGGCCTCTCTTTTGTATCTCCTGCCGGCTACAGCTTTGTACCTCCTTCCTCTGCTCCCTTCTGGTCAGGTACAGGTATCTCTTCTCTCTCTCTCTCTCTCTCTCTCTCTCTCTCTCTCTCTCTCTTTGCTTTCATGTTGGAGGCTGCTTAGCATGCAGGCTGCAGCTCAGTGCCATCACATCTCTGCCTTTACATGCAGCCTCACACTGCACCATCTCACCTCTCGCATCGTGCCGTGATCATAAATATCATGACAGGGACTGTTTGATAAATATAAAATATATAAAGTAAGGTCTTTTACCTGTTTTTTGTAACATAACAATGAGTAAGGTCTTTTTTACCTGCTCTTTTGTAATGTTAACAGACAAAGAGTAAGGTATTTTACCTGCTTTTTGTAAAGTGTCTTGAGATAACACTTGTTATGAGTTGACGCTATACAAAATAAATTGAATGGAATTGAATTGAATTGAATTGAAATAAAGATAAAAATTGTTATGTGAAGTCCGTCACAAACTCCCTGACATGTTCTGGTTTCACGTTTGAACTCATTGTTAAATTCTGAACTGTTCTGTGATGGTTGTGAACGTTTCTGAGTCTGTTTGAAACTTTGAGTGACATCATGTTTGAAGGTTAAAGTGAGCACCAGCCATGTCCATCTGTGTTTGTGTTCCATGACATGAACCTGATGTTTTATGAAAACATCTTCTGAAACCTTTAATGCTTCATTTTAATCATCTCTCTCTCTCCCCCCTCTCTCTCTCTCTCTCCCTCTCTCTCTTTCTCTCTCTCTCCCTCTCTCTCTCTCTCTCTCCCTCTCTCTCTCTCTCTCCCTCTCTCTCTGTCTCTCTCTCTCTATCTTCCCCCCCCCGCTTTCTTTCTCTCCACCACCCTCTCTCTTTTCTCCCCCCCCTCTCTCTCTGTCTCCCCCCCCCCCCCCCCCCCCCTCCAGTGTTCACTCCGAAGGTGATCGGCGTGGCCATCGCGCGGTACGACTTCAGCTCTCGGGACACACGGGAGCTGTCTCTGCAGGAGGGAGACGTGGTGAAGATCTACACAAAGTCCGGGGCCAACGGCTGGTGGAGGGGCGAGGTCAACGGCAGGGTGAGCTCAGTTTATATCTCATCAACGCTTCACTCTGAGGCGCAGTTCTGTGGAGAGGAATACTGATGTGAGTCTCCGCCCCCTCCGCAGGTCGGCTGGTTCCCGTCCACGTATGTGGAGGAGGGTGAGGAGTGATGGTCCGACATGAGGAAAAGAGTGGAATGACTGAAGAAGGGCTGCAGCAGGGAGACGGAGACTCTCTGCTGATTTCAGGTTCTGAAGACGTCCCCGAGGCCTTCAGAGAGGAAAGGGCTACGCCGCAACGCCGTCACCTCTGCTTCCCCCAGTGTGGACTCCACCAACGAGCGGCCTGGCTGTCAACGGGACAACCCACCCCCCCCTCACTTCTTACATCCATAATCCACCCTCCATCCCTCTTTCTCTGCCCGGACATCCCTGAAGCCTCTTCCTTTTTCTGCTGCCAGGTCCACCCTCGCCAAACTGTCAAACTCACCCACGCTTTCATCCTCCTGCAGGACGGACTTCAGTCTGAGTCTGTTTGACTAATGCAGACACACACACACACACACACACACACACATACACAGATTATGATCACTCGTTTTAAAGGACATGTAATAGAGGGATAGCATCGATGGCTGTTCTTCCCTCCCTCCTCCTTCGTTCTTTATCGGCAGTGTCTTTACCGTTAGCGGTCCTCACCTCTTATCGGTGACAGGAGGCCGCTCGCCAATGGTTTACCTTATAGGAGGCGTTAGCGACCTGTTGGGGTCGCACCACAGAGAAGGTACCGGAAACCAAGAGAGGGAAATAAATAAAACCCTCCGACTGTTCTCTCTCTTATTCTCAGGTTTCAGTCGCTCTTTGTGAGATTTATTTTACGTCCAACCTGTTAGCAACATTTCCATCAGATCGTGCATCACAGCGTTCTGTCAGAAGGCGTTCCCCTCCTGGTGCGGCCTCACAGTGTTGACCTTCAACATGAAGTTTCTGCAGAACATTTTGAATTTAGTTTATTCCTTTTGTCTTTAAAAGCATTTAAAATAATGCATTAACGCTGGAAACAAAGAGAATGATGGGAGCTTCTCCTCTGCGTCTATCCTCCTGTTAACAGCCCCCCCCCGCTGTAACACCCTCGCCCCCCCTTCACATTATGCACAGTGTCTCCCTAATCCACGGTGAAAGAGGATTTTCCCACATTTGAGGGAATAAATAGAGAAAAACTCTGTCCTCATGTCGACACACGCAGACAGACTCAGACAGAATAAGACGCCAACTTATGTTGTCTGGAGGCGAGGCAGAGAACGCGCCGGCAGCAGCAGCTAAATCTCATCCGAGATTTGAGGAGCAAAAGACACTTTGTCTTTCTTTAAATGTGGAGAGAGAGATTTATAATCAAGTCGTGGTTTGTGTTTAAGGATGGTCCAAATGTGACTTTAAATTCTCCAGTCTGAAGAGAGGACACACACACACACACACACACACACACACACACACACACACACACACACACACACACACACACACACACACACACACACACACACACACACACTTAGTGTTGTAGTAAAGACCACACTAATCCAGACCGAGACATACCTGAGACCGGACTGCTCCGAGACCATAAATATCTCTCATAAATCTTCATCTTGTGTTCAGGGGGCGTGTCCCTCACTTAGAGTGTAACACCGGGAAGGTTGTGGAGTCGCAGTCAGTTTTTTGTTCTTTTAAAAAGAGGAGTTTTCCTTCACAGAAATTACGTGGAAAAATAGACGATCAGAGGAGGTCTTGGCCGGTATTGATTTAAAATCTGGAGTCTGCCCAGTCTGAGACCGAGACAAGACCGAGTAAAACATGATTTAGACGAGACGAGACCTTCAAAAAGTGCTCTGGAGACTAAGACCGGTTTCGAGTACGACCACACTACACAACCCAACACATAACCTTTAAAGAGCCTCTGTGTGTTCTGTGTAAAGGGTCTTCATATAACGCAGCCATCCTGAAATATCAGACACAGTCAGACAGAGGAAGCTTCTCTAAGAAGAGAGCCAAACAATCCAAACGTTCAGAGCTCATCTCCAGTCCTAACACCTGAAACAGATGGACCCTGAGGTGACCTGCTGCGTCCTCCTCTGTCATGTCTGCACATTGTTTGGTGAACTGAAGGAAGAGTTGTGGTAAAGAAATACTTTAGTGTGCGATGAATGGTGCTATGATGTTTAACAATCCCTCCGCCCAGTGCTCATGTTGTCATATGTGTAAAAGCGTTGAGTGTTGGACTGAAGATTTATATTCATGTATCATTGCTTTGTGACTTCCCCGTTTCCACTATTCTCCACAGTGTCACTAAGTGACCACTAGATGGCAGCATGCTAAACACATCTCCTCTGAGCTGTAACCTTCAACTTCCTAAGTTTGGAGATGACATCATCTGATGAGATGAAGGATGTTTAGAAGATCACATCATCACAGAGCAGCAGATTCAGAGAGACACATTTACCTTTCTGCACATTCTGGCTGCTTTCATGAAAGCTTTCCTGACACTTTGTGTGCAGCAGGATGAAGCTGCTCGTCCTCCTGCAGCCTCTGAGCAGACAAACATTACATTTATAACTTCTTTAGGAAACGTTCTGAAACACTGATGTGATCGAGCAGCAGCTCCTCTCCTGTCAGGGGAGAAGTGTCAAGGAAGAGTATCCTGTCATCTCAGACTCCTGTTATCCACTCTGCTCTCTTCTTCATCCTCCTCCTCTCTCCTCCTCATCCTCCTCCTCCTCCTCCTCCTCTCTCCTCCCCCTCCTCCTGCTCCTCCTCCTCCTCCTCTTCCTCATCCTCCTCCTCCACCCACATGAACTCTGACAGTGGCTCCGGTCCTCCTCCTCTCGGAGTCAGTCTGAGGTTTCTGGGCTCGGGGGGAATCTGTGATCTGATCATTACACCATCTCCTCACCTCGGCGACCTCGCTGCATCCATCTCTCTGTCGGCTCCGCTCGCTCCGGCACTATCTCACCGTGCCACTTCCCCTCCCTCTCTCTCTCTGTCTCTCTCCATCCATCTTTCATCCAATCTGTGTCTGTTCTCTGTCCCTCACCTCTGAAGCTGAGGCAGTGTGTTGGCTGGAGGAGAAAAGAAATCCGTTTTATCAGGAGAGGAAGAGCAAGAGGCGTCTGAGTCTTTACAAACAGCTGCTGCAGAAGGAGGACCAGTCCAGTCCGAACACAGATTTATAGACTGATTGACCTGATGCATTTAAAGACTGAATGAAATGAGTGTCCTCATACATGCACAGACATGCTCAGTGTTCCTGTTAAAATGCTCTCAGACAGGATTGAGGGCCGGACACGTCTCAGCAGGCCTTAAAGTAACAATCTCCTCGACCAATTCTGCAGAACGCTGAGCTGAGAATATGTGATAAGATACTTTTTCTTGCTGTGATTCATTGATAATTCATCCTCCTCCTTCTTCACTCTGTCCCTCTGAAGCCAAAGATGTTCGCTGGAAGCTCAGCTCGGTACCGACCGCTGTGGCCTGACTCTATAACTGTGCAATCTTTACTGTGTAGCATTACTGCGTATTGTTGCTGTAACATACTGTAAATCATGTACATAGCACATAATAAATATATACAAGGCTTCTCCTAATGTGTCTCTTTTCAATCATTATAAAGATGTTTAACATGAAGAACAAGTTTGAGTTCAGCTCTGCATCAAAAGGCACCACAGCTGGGCTGCTGTTCACTACCTCATTCCAAGAGAGGAAACCAGCCTAGTGGTGAACTGCAGAATGACCAGCGACTGGAGGTCACACTACACATACTGTCCAACGCCTGACAGCAGTCTGTAGTAGGCGGTTTTGAAAACACCCTCTCAGATTTTTCTGTCTCTGCTGTTGTTAGGCAGAAAATGTCTTTGCTGTAAAATAACAGACGGCCTAGTGAATACAAATCAACGAGCTGATTCTGATTCTTCACACATATCACCTGACTTTAACACACCTAATGACATGTTGACGTCATTACTGTGCATATATCCAAGTATCCACAGCAGCTCTCATCAGTAAATCAATCAGACTGAGAATTCTCTGTGAGCTCAGCGTGACGTAAAGGATCCTCTCTCCTTAAAGTGCAGTAGTTCTCGTTACACCGGTGTCACCGTGTGTTTTGTTGCATTTCCCTCCAAAGGACTGAAATAACCTGTAGCCTGTGGGGGGCTGTTTCTCACTCTCTGATTGGCTGGAAGGTGTGAATGAATGTGGGGATAAAAGGAGGGTCTCTGCTGCTTTCATGCTGACACTAAAGAAGAGAAACCAAACGTCTAAATATAGAAGGTTAGAATAAAAGCAGAGAAGGTGAATTTAAAAACAGAGCTCTCACACACACAGAGCACTGTGACAGACACACACCATATGTTAGTTAGTGCAGCATCTACGAGAAGATGTAGAGTGTGTGTGTGGGTGATGGTCTTGTCGGCCATCTGCTGCTCGGTTACCTGCCGCTGCGGAAGCTGGATGGAGGCTCGGACACAGAGAAGATGAGCGGTGCAGGGCTGTAGCAGTCAGTGTTTCTGGCTCTGCAGGGGGGTCAGACTCTGAACACCTCAGCCGGGCCGCTCTGCAACCAGCACCGGCACCACCTCCAGCTGAGGAGGAGCTCCAGCGTGACAGATGGCTGAGAGAGAGTGACATCAGCCTGCGTCACAGAGCGCAGAGGAGGAGGCTGCAGTATGTCTGAGATGAAGACGAGTTCAGACTTTCTCTGAAGTTAGTGATCAGTGATCAGTCCAGTTCCACAGACTGCTTCACCTCTGCCCATGTAACTCTGTGTGCACGTGTAGTGAAACATGCAAGATTTCACCCAGCAGATAGTGAAAGTTCACGAGTGAAAGGGAAGGATGTTGAGTTCAGCATATCTGTGTGACCACGCAGCGTGAGAACTGGAACGCCAACAAGACGTGGGACAGAGTGCACCTTACAGAGCTCAAGAGGACCCATTATGTAATAGACCTCATTATGACACCACATATAATCATCGGCGTGGTAGAGAGGGGGAAAGAGGGGCTGACTCCCCAGGGCCCCGATGGAGGACCCTGATTGGTCCTGAAATGAATCTCTAGTTCAAGGCCTAGTGGTGGTTGTTTCTGAAAACTGTGTGTAACCCAGGGATAAATCCCAGAGTTAAAATCAAGTAAACTAAAGTTAAAATATACATCGTAGTAGAAACCCCACAGTTACTACAAAGGAAGCTATGTCACTTTAAGAAAGTATTGTTGTCATAGTTTAGTAGAAACACTAATGTTACTATAATACAAGCTATGTCACTTTAAGAAAGTCACGTTTGGATAGTTTGTTTGAAATGTACGTCCCTCTACACGAGGCAAGACAGACTATCTTGTATGTTTTATGTGTGTGTGTGTGTGTGTGTGTGTGTGTGTGTGTGTGTGTGTTCTTGTTACCTTCCTCTAATGGGTCAATTTAAAGACACCTCACATTTCTTTAATTATGATTGGTCGAGGGGTGGGAAAGAAGACGAGAGCAAGAGAGAGTAGTGAGACAAGCGGGGTGAACGTGAGCTCTCCTCACACCGCTGCATTGTGTTTCCTATCTGAGTAGCCATGAGCTAAATAACTGAGTAAGTGTTGGATAAAGTGAACGTTAGTAAGGTGCTAAACAGCTACCAGCTTTATTTAGCATATGTTTGTTTGAAAGTTAACTGTAACCTCCTCGGCTACTGCTTGTTAGCCCGAATGCTAATTCTGTGCTAGCGAATGTACGGACAGTGGAGCCGCCGCTTAGCAGCAGACAGTGCGTCGCGGGAGCGGACTGATTCAGAGGGAGACCCGCTGTTTCCCTCCTGCTTTACCTTTCTGTTTTGTTCCTGGACTGTTCTTCATTGCCACGGCTGAGAGCGGCTGGTGACATTGCTTCATGGCCACTGAGATGATCTGCGGACTTTTCTTCCTCCACTAACGGAGAGTGGAGTTTTCTTCAGCATGGCTGAACCGGGTTTGGACCAGTCTTCTTCTTTATTGCCTTTTCCAGAGTAACGTTGAACTGACTGTTCGACGTGGGTGAGTGAGTACAGTGTGCCGCCAACGTTCATTGCATCAAACTCAATTCAGGCCTGCAACGGGGTTTTGTTTATTTTAATGCCGGCTTTTGTTATTTTTGTGTGGGCCCACATTAAAGTGTTAAGAGTGTATTAATGTGTTCTAACGGATTTAAGCACTTAAAGTGAACTAGTAATAGCTGGTTATTTCTTCTGGTCAGTTTAAATAGTTTCATGGTATTTTGATGACCAACTAGATAAGTATCATACGAGTGTTTGTATGGTGGCTCAAGAGTGCCATTAGTCAGGTTTAAAGGGTACTTGCCTATCATTTCATTTACCTCATGGTAGTTTTTCTGATACTCTAAATGAGTGCTGAGAGTGTGTTTTGTTTGTTTTCATTTACTAAAAAGTAAACACATTGATAATTGTCAATAAATACTTTAAAATGCATATTCACCTCTTGGTCGGTTTAATAAATAAGCATTTTTAAAAACCGAACGTTTACAGTGTTTAAAGGTAAAACGTCATCACACTAGAGTCATTTAATTCATTTTGTGTACGAGGAAGCACGGTAAGTTAGGTTCAATTACAGGACATATAAACTTAAAGGAGCAATAATAGTAATAAGATTAACGTGAGTTCTAAGAGAAAAACCCAGGGCGCTGTATCTCCGACTAGTTGATACATAGGAAGCGCTACATGTGTGCAGTTAGGGGTTTTTTCTTTTCCCCTTGTACATTCACGTACATGAGTGGTGATTTACATTTGATGCAACAAGTAGGCTACATACAGCTCAATTGTTCTTCGGCTGTGCGGCTGAGTTGTTTTCTTTTTCCCTCGTATGTGCGCGTACAAGATGGCCGATTAAATTAAAGTAAAACCGTTTTTGATGTGAATTTAAGTTAATGATTGTTCCTTCTGCAGTGTGCAGGTAAAGTTCTTTGTTTTTCCCTATGACGTTTGCGTACGAGTGGTGATATATGTTAGAACAAGCGGGTAAAATAAATAAATAAATAACATGGGAAGGAGAAGGGGCTACTACAGGGAGGAGAGGATGACCTACCAGCCCGTCTCTCCAAGCCCTCTCTTCCAGAGGTGACTCCATAGCTGCTGGGCATGGGCTCTCGAGATCATCAAAAAGATGAGCCTTGCCCAACATGAAGGACACTCTCGGTGACCATCACGAGGGTCCATGGCTACTCCACAAAAGCAACAAACCTGGGGAGCCATATTATGTTTTGGCCGAAAGCAGTAACTTTTTCTGACCTGCTGCACAGGCAACAAATAATAACCGTCTTTGTACGCGGATGTACTAGGGGAGAAAACAAATGAACACACCTGCTGCTCGTAGAGGTGTAACAAAAACAAGTACTCACACAGGAACAAAAATTAATCTATAACTAATGTCTGTGTCTGACTTATGGTAGGGAACGGGGCGTAACACTGACCGCCACTCTCACAAGCGTCAGCGGGAGCATTCCCAGGGGCGTGGTAAAAAAACGACCCCCAAAGAGTACTTCTCCACCACCGCATAGTCCAGCCCTTCCTCCAGGGGATGCTGTAGGACCAGAGGACAGCCAGGTACAGATTTTGGCTTCCTTTCGTGGTTTGTCAGAGAGAGTGACAATGATTGAGGCTCGCTCTCAGAGTGCGGCCCCATCTGAGGCAGATCATTCGACTGGGACATCCCAGGTACAGGGATCCCTCTTGGAGGAAGTGGGGTGCTCAGAGTCTGCGGAGGGGACGCACTCTTTTAGTTCACTTCACCAGGAGGAATCTGCATCGGTGGATGATTGTGCTGAGGAGCCTGGTCCCAGTGATGTGATCTCTATGGTGATGAGTGCGGTTAAGATTGTGGGGCTCGCAACCCCAGTTGAAGGTCTGGGCAGGTGTTTCACGGCCCCGTCCCTCAGTGGCTATCCCGGCAGCTGAAGATTACTGCCAGATGCTGAAGAGGGCTTGGAATGCACCTAGCAACGCCCCTCAGTTTAATGCAGGCTGCAGGAGGCTGGCTAAGACTCAGTACTCGATAGAAACTGGACTGGGTGACATACCACCAGTAGAGAAGGAGATGGCAGCTTTGACCTCTCTTGGCCCTGAAAGAGTGACAGCTGATCCACGGTGCCCTCGGAGGGAGTGTGATAAGACAGACCGGTTGGTTTGTAGGACAATTCAGCTGCTCGTGCAGCCCGTGCAGGGAATGCTCTTGCTATCCTCTTAGCTGTTATAAGAAGGACTGCAAATACTGGTGACCAGGACACCATGAATTTGATAGATGTTGCCCTTTCTACTCACATACAACTCACCTGTGATGTTGCGGCAATGTCATCTGCCATGTTGACTCGGAGGCAGATCTGGCTGGCTCAGATAACCCTCCCGGAGAACGTTAGGAGGGAGCTTACTAACATGCCTGTGGAATCAGGTAGAATGTTTCACTCTGATTCACAGGGGGTGTTGAAAAAAAAACTGAGAAAACTGTGTACAGCGTGCATACAGGCACCAGGGGAGAGCACCCATATCAATCTGCCTGGGGCCCTCAAGAGTACTGGACTCGTGGCAAACGGCAGGACTTGGGCACTCAAGGCTTCTGTCTCA